CCAGTGGGCCCGTGGGGTTGGCTCTCCTAGTCCTCGGGGAGAAAGGGGATGTGATTTCCCATTTGCTCTCTGCACCCGCTGGCTGAGCGGGAGGACGGGGGAGGGGCGGCCTCAGCTCAGCCTCACTTCTCGGTGCTGGGTCCCTGGCCCCCACCAGCCCGGGGCAGCACAGGATGTGGGCACAGTGGAGGCAGCAACTAGGTCTGGCAGACAGGCCACAGCCCCCACATGAGTGTGGGAACAATCCGAAATGTCTTATTTGTCACCTGCTTAAGGCCTGGCTTTCCACTGCGGTGTGGACTCCGCAGGGCAGGGGCGGCATCTTTTTTGAAGCTCTGGTCTTAGTACATCTCCCTGGAACAGACTCTGAGGCTCACTTGGGAAGGGTCTCGGAGCAATGCCCGTGCATGTGAGGAAAGCAGGACTGGGCAGAGGGAGAGGGTGGCCGCAGAGCCATCGGATCAGAGGCCTCAGCCGGAGCTCGGAGCTGGGAGGGGAGCTGGGAGCTCAGAGCTGGAAGTGTGGCTGGATACAGGCTGCCTCCAGGAACAGGAGGTGTAACGGTGGGCAAGACAGCTCCCTTTTGGACTGGCGTGATTCCTGGGAGGGATTCCACCGGGAGCCCTGGACAGCTAACTCCCTGTGGCTGGGATGAGCGCTTCGTCCTGATAGGGATCGGGCCGGGTGGCACGCCCCAGCTGCCAGTGTGTCCTTCCCTGGGCCTAGCGCACGCCAGCACGTGGTGCCCATGGGGATAACGACCAAACACTTTGTGTTCCCATCAGTTCTTCTTATCCTGACAATGATCCTACGTGGGAGGCACTGTTCTTATGCCCATTTTACAGATGGGAAAACTGAAGCCAGTGGAGTTACATAACTTGCCTGAATCCACCACTGGCAGGTGGTGGGGCTGACTTGAGCCCAGCATGCTGGCTCCGGGTGCACACGCTGGACCATTTTGCTAAAATGCCTTCTCCTAACCTCGATGGCATCTTTAGAGCGTGTATTCAATAGATATTTGTTGACTAAATGATTGAGGAACCCACTGGGCCCCTGGTCTCTACTTCCTCCTTCCCCTTTCAGGCCTTGTGGGAAGAGGGGAGCCACAGGGACCCCGCTGAGGGGAGACGGGGCTGGGGCCACAGATGTGGGTCTCCTCCATGGAGGGTGTGGAAACCGGGTGGGAACTGGTTCCTATGCCCAGGACACCCCCCTGCGTCTGTGGAGGGGGAAGGCCTTCCGGGTCCTCGGAGGAGGCTGGCACCCACACGTGCATCTCTGGGTCTTCCCTCCCTCTCCACAGAGTGTCCGCACCGAGAGATGGACATTGTCTTCCTCATCGATGGCTCGGGCAGCATTGGCCAAATTGACTTTAAGCAGATGAAGAACTTTGTCAGAGCCGTGATGGGCCAGTTTAAGGGCACCAGCACCCTGGTGAGGACTGGGTCCCCTAGGCCTGAGGAGTGGGGTGGGAGGGTCTGCTTCTGGGGACGACAGCCCGGGAGGGGGCGTGGCATCGCTGGGGTGGCTGGCCCGGCAGGCCTGTGCCGGGATGAGGCCAGGGTCCAGGGTCAAGGTAAGGTGCCAGCGCAGGGCCAATTTGTGTCCTGACCCTAGGAGGTCCCCACCCCCCCTTGCATTTAGTAGGTTCCCACATGCCACAGAAAATAGGATGTTTTTGCTGTTTAAAAGCATTGAAAATTTTGTAAAATAATTCTGCTGTGAAATGTGACTGAAAGTAACTTGGCCAGATCATTGATGATTCTTTACAATTCTTAATTCATGGCTTCTTCATCTTATTTTATCTCCCAGTAATTAGTGAATGTGTATGTACAAATTCTTGAGGAGTGAGGAAACACAGCTACAAATTGATTTCATGTGTTATCATTTTTTAAGATGTAAGTTTAACAAATATTGTGGTTGGCAAGGTTATTCTTTGCAGACGATGAAAGAAGCATTATTGGATTTCGAGTTTCCGGTTGCCTTTTTGGGTCATTTTCTTTTCTTGTGGGTTTCAGTATATATTTGCTGGGCCTCAAAAACACAGACCATGCCCTAACCGGTTTGGCTCAGTGGACAGAGCATCGGCCTGCAGACTGAAAGGTCCCAGGTTCGATTCCGGTCAAGGGCATGTGCCTTGGTTGCGGGCACATCCCCAGTAGGGGGTGTGCAGGAGGCAGCTGATCAATGTTTCTAACTCTCTATCCCTCTCCCTTCCTCTCTGTAAAGAATCAATAAAATATATTTTTTTAAAAAAATAAAAGTGCTTAAAATTGGAACAAACAAACAAACAACACAGACCATGGTTTGCAAGCCCAAAATTATTCTGAAATAAAAAGCGTATTAAACCCCAAAACAACAGCTCCTGAGCCCAGGCCCCTCTCGCCCGCAGTTCTCGCTGATGCAGTACTCCAACATCATGGAGACCCACTTCACCTTCACCCAGTTCCAGGCCAGCCCGGGCCCTCAGAGCCTGCTGGAGCCCATCGTCCAGCTGAAAGGACTGACCTTCACAGCCTCAGCCATCCAGATGGTGGTGTAAGCTCCCCCTGCTGCTCGAGGGATCCCCGCCTCCCACCCCCCTGCTGCCTGCGGGATCCCCACCTCACCCTGGGTCCTGGACAGCCCTTTCTCCAGCTGAGGGAGGCTCTAGGGCAGGGGTCCTCAAACTACGGCCCGCGGGCCACATGCAAATACAAATATGGTATTTGTTCCCATTTTGTTTTTTTACTTCAAAATAAGATATGTGCAGTGTACATAGGAATTTGTTCATAGTTTTTTTTTAAACTATAGATCGGCCCTCCAACAGTCTGAGGGACAGTGAACTGGCCCCCTGTTTAAAAAGTTTGAGGACCCCTGATCTAGGGAAAGGGATGCAAAAGGGAAGGGAGGGGCTGCAGGCAGAGTCCTCCTGGAGCGCTTCTGCCCTCCTGCTCCCCGCATCCCCTCCCCCCCCCCACCCCCGCCCCTTGCAGGAAGGGCTCCTCTGGTCCCTTTCCCGTTGCCTGGCCTTGCATGGGCTGGACCCGGAGCCCACCTGGGGCAGCCCAG